ACATTTTTATTGTTTTTCACATGTTCTTTCATCTCTTGGGTGTATCTAAAATGCAAGTATGAAAACAAAGGTAAAGGTAAACCAGCTATCAAAACTATAAGTAGATTAATAAAGCATCCCAATAAAGCTATATGTCTTCATGTAGACAATGCAAATATGAACAACTCATTGTAACTTGTAAAAGGGGATATACAAGGCATCAATGTAGAAAAGAGTTATCTCAATTTTCAATTAATGAATATGGTGGTCGACAATATTTATTAGAAACAAGGACAAAACTCATACCTCATAAACCCATGTTTGGTTCTTGGAAAAATAGGCAACGAAAAAAAATCTTCAGATGGAAAGAAGAGGAAGCTGAAACCTACTTGGTTATCCTATAATGGTCTCTGGACAAGAGAATGATATACTTGACCATATTTTTTTCCTCCCCATCACTCTGTCTTAGAACCAAATAAAGATTTTTATGCTTTGTATACTTCTTACTCTATAAATACTATTTGAGTAGGTAGGGTTGTAGGTTCAATTATAACCTCATCTTGATCCCCAACTTATAGCAGTTCAAATGATCACAACTAAGTTTTGTACTACCATAAGATTTTTTTTGATCAAATTTGGATCAAAGCTCTAGCTTGAATGGTTGACATATAACCCTTTGGTTTCTCCAAGCTTCAGTGTAATATATATGTACATTAGTTCAGCTGAAGCTTGATAAGAATCACTTTCTGGAAAGTCTGATGAGAACCAAACATAATTTCACCTAGCTTGTTTAGTATTATACTACAAACTTCACTGTCCTGCAGCATTTTAATACTCTTACAATTTGTTATTGCAAATAGGAATTATAACATACTTCAAGATATACCATTTTATCAAGATCTAAATCTATTTTTCTATCAAATAAATGACAAGAAATTGGACCAAATCAAATCAACAATCCCATAATTGTAATCATGTGCTCATACACCACATAATTGCAAGATAACATATTTGTTATGAACAAGCATGAAATTGAAATAAAACAAACCTAATTTGTGATTTCATATTGTGCACATACAAACTGTGTTGCTACAAAAAAAAAAAAAAAGAAGAAGGGCACACCAAAAGATTTCCTCGATAATCAAGATTTCAGAATGCGTGATTATAAAAGAAAAATAACCTAAAAATAAAACAAAAAAAAGGGAAGAAAACAAAGATTACTATGTGATGTTCAAACAATAACACCTTGGATCTGTTTGTTTGAGGTATATGGGTGTATAAGGAAAATAGTACATGGGGCCTATTTTAAACCTTGTTTGTTTGACATTTTTTACTAGGTATTAATTTTCGGGTCATAGTATCGACCCGGTGTGAACAGTAACACTAATGCCTTTTACACGGTGGTATAATATTCTTGGTATAAATGAATGGATGTATAATAAACTAAAAAGATCGAAATGCCCTCAGGTACAATACCCATATAAAAACCTAGTTTCAATTTTTGACTTTTTAAGGTTAAAATTGTCTTTTTTACATTGGTTAGATGTAATTGTTGACTTTTTTAAGTAGGTATTACACAAATAATGTTTGTGACAAATAAACAAGGGGAAGGATGAGATTATAGTTTAAGACCGGGTATAATATACTATTGAATCGGAATGGAATGAATATAAAATCTTATACCACCTAAATCTTATACTCGAAACAAACGGTCCCCTTGTGTTTTGATGCAGGTCAAGAAGCTTAAAGGGATCAAAATTTGTATTGTTCAAACCCATATGCAGCCCTTTAAGATTCGAATTATTTAAATCCATATGCATCTCATTCAAGAAGATGCAAAGACCCAAGACCGAAAACCTTATCAGAAGATATATGCTAAAAAACAAATCAACAGGCAGATGGATGGGATTGGGATTAACTCCAAATTGTCGCGTCCATGCAAAGAAAGTCAAACAAAAGAAAAGAAAGAAAGATTGTTATGTGATGGCCAAACGATAATCACCATACCTTGGTAGAGATCTAAAAAACTTGACAGAATCAAGATTTGTATTGTTCAAACCCATATGTGTCTCATTTAAGAATATGCAAAGCCCAAGCCTGAAAAACTTAGAATCATAAGATATCTAAAAAATACAAATCAACCTGCAAAAAGATTGGATTACTTCAAAATTGTTGGTTCCCCAAAAGGAAAAAAAATACAAAAAAAAAAAATCAAGGAGAGAAAGATTGTTGTGTAATGGTCAAACGATAATCACCATGCCTTGATACTGATCAAAACGATTGAAGGGATCAAGATTAGTTTGTACTGTTCAAACCCATAAGCATCTCATTCGAGAATATGCAAAGCCCAAGACTAAAAACGATAGAATCATAGGATATCTGCGAAAACACAATCCAACACACAGAGAGATTGAATTACCGCCCAAGTTGTTGGTTCCCCAAAAAGAAAATAAAAATCAAGGAAAGGAAGATTGCTATGTGATAATCAAACTATAGTACCTCACACTTTGATAGAGATCAAGAAGCTCAAACGGTTCAAAATCTGTATTAATCAAAACCTATACGCATCATTCAAGAATGTGAAAAGCCCAAGCTGAGAACCTCTGAATTAGAAGATGTCTGCGAAAAAAAAATCAGGCAGCAAGATCGGATTGTTATGTGATGGTCAAATGATAATACCTCATACTTTAATAGAGATTAAGATATCGATTGCAAAAGTGCAGCCTGCGTAGGGAGTGCCAAGAGGGGCCAGGGATTGTTTCAATCAACTGAGTGATATAGTCACTTTTAGGTTTTACGCTAATGTCTGACACTTCTGTATCCCCTGTTACACTCTTGGAGCTCTTTCTGCACCCGAGTGAAGTCCACCATTTTCGCTGTAATTCAATTGATTCTATACGCGAGAGAGGGGAAGGGTTGTAATGACAGTAAATTGGGATTAGTTCACATGAGGTTTAATGTTAGGCTTTGATGTACGGGAATAAGAATGAAATAGTTGTGATTTTGGAAAGTAAAAGTGAAAAAAAATAAGTTTTACAGATATGTTGACATTTTAAAGTAGTATAAATAATTACAAATCATTCAAAGCAAAATTAATTTCAACAAAATTAATTTGTAACAAAAATAAGGGATTAAAAGCTTTTTCAAATTAATTGGATTGATTTGTAATAAAAAAATTCACTTAATATATTTAAGGGTTTAATTGTAAATTGGGCATATATGTTTTTCTTTTCCTTTCATTTTTTATCCAATATCAAACGATAAAAAATATATCAAATCCCTCCTACCAAAAAAAAAAAGGAGGAAAAATAAATTTCTTTCTTTTATGGATGAAAAACTTATTTTTTTTCACTTTTATTTCCTTTCTTTTCCATCATTCTTACCAAACGGATCATTAATTTAAGTCACGGTTGGAGATGTTCTTTATACCACAAAAATTAGTAAGGAGATAGTTGATGCCTTCCCATCTATTTGTTTCTTTTAACAGAAATTTAAATTTATTAAATTCAAAAAAATAAAGATATTTTTATTAAATATATTCCATACATACTCATTCATCGTATCAAATCACCTATAATAACTTCACGGTGTGGTGTGGTGTGTGTGTCTGTCTGTCTGTCAACTAATTCATCTAACTTTTTACTATCACCATGATGTAATTTTTAAACATTTTTTTTAACTTGTTTAAAATTTCAAGATTAGTAAAAATGATAAATCATGTCCAAACAGAAATATGGGATGCTCATTATTGTTCTTTTAGGAGAAAGTCTATTGTACCCATAAAAACATTTCAACGACACTGTACTACTGCATTCTGCAATATACAAGTTTTTTTCACATTTTTTTTAATTGATTTATAACATCCATCATAAATATCTAAAAAATAACTTGAACCATACATTTATTATAACTTAAATCTTAAAAATTATAATATGACTTAAAAAATTATAACTACTTTTACAAAATTAATTTTAATATTTTAGAATCAGTCCCAAATTCATTTATTATATACAAATCTGAAACCCAAAACTTGGCAAAGTTGGGTACCCAAGTCGAGTCCGAAGTGAGTCGACTTTGCAGACTCAACATTGTCCATGCCCGTGCCCGTGCCCGTGCCCCCCAATTGTGTCCTAATTTCTCCACTCTTTCTGCCTGCCTACTCAGTTTGTTCCTTAGAGAGCAGAGAGATGGAAGATGCCAAGGCGTTGGCTCAGCAGCAACAGCTTATGCAGCAGCAGCAACAGCAGCAGTTTCTCCTCTTACGGCAAATTCAACAACAACAACAACACCAACATCAACAGCAACAGCAACAGGCCATCTCTCGTTTCCCTTCAAGCATTGACGCTCACCTGCGACCTCAGTTCCTTCACCGTCCCAACAACAACTCCCAACAATCCCAACCACCCCAACACCAGCACCAACAGCAAAACCCAAACCCTAACCCTAACCCCAACCCCAACCCCAACCCCAACCCCAACCATCCGATCCCCAATCAGCAAAATCCTAACTCTAATCCACACCTTCAACAATTGCAACACAAGCCCAGTCCAACCACCCCTCCACCCAACCAGGCGGAACTCCACATGGCCTACCAGGATGCTTGGCGAGTCTGCCATCCCGACTACCACCGTCCTTTCTCTTCCCTCGAAGACGCTTGTGAGAGGTTCGTTCCTTCGCCCGCTTACCCTTCTATTATTCGATCTCATAACTAATTCATTCATTCACTTGATTTGCTCCAAATTTAGATTAGCTCGCTGCCTGATTTCTGGAAAACCACACTAATTTGCAACATGTTTTCTCCTCTGAAATACTCACACTTCCTAGTCCTACTGCTTTCCTCCTTTCTTCTTTTCCCAAAACGAATTTTGTCCCCCTCCCGTTTCTAGAAATTTGAAGGGGACCCATCCATTGGAATGCCAATGGCATTCAACAACTCTTGATTCTTCATATGCATTTCAGTTTCAACATAAAGACGAGATCAGAGTCAGGAATATGTTAACATAAACACCCATAATAAGCATGGCTGATGATGATTTCATGATTTAATCCGATGTCAGTTTCTTACATGCACAAAACAGTGGTTCCGTTACATTTCAAGAGACTGGAAATAGAGTTGCCCATCATAGAATCTATTAGTAAGTATGTGATATTAGTTATTATTCCTAACTGGATATTTTAAATTTGAATTATAATGCATAAAAATATAGGCATTTAGTTTCATGAGCCTCATTGCACTTTAGATGGAGATAAGGACAGGATTATCACATTCCATGTTGCATGACTTTGCCAAGAAATCTTGGGAGTGGGATATGGTACAAAGCTATCAAAGAAAATTGCATCACAAGTCATATGCCAATGCCATGTGTAGGTATTTTGGCTTGAATTTCTTGACTCCTCAATACTTCAGATACTCTTTCGATGAAATCGTAAAACTAAATGATTCATTAGAAAAATGCGTGAAAGCTACTTTTTTTTCTTTTTTTTGGTATCACGGGTTTATTGGCCACTCGTTAGACTTATTCGGGTCTGTGTGTGACTCTTTAATTTTCTTTAGGGTTGCAATTTAACCAAAAAAAGGCTAGCTATAAACTAATAACCAAATTATTCATAAACAACCATAACTTCTCGTTGTCTAAATCCGAAGAACCAGTTAAAACATGATATATCGGTCATGGCATTGTAGTGGCTTGGTCCAAATTTATGCTCATCACTTTTGCTATTTATCCTTTATCCTCTATCAGAATACAAACAATACAGATGTCTAAGAACGTGGCCCAGGAATTGTTTTTGGTGGCTTTCAAACGGCCTAAACCTAGAACCCAACCATAAAGGTTTTGTGAAGGATGAACGTCGGTGGTGATTTGAATAGATTTGATCATGGCTTTTACTAAGGGATTTAAAACTAGTTCTAGAATCGTGTTTGCCAATTCTGCTCAGGTTTTCTGGGGAGAGTATTCATTAAAATTTTCTTGTTGGAATGCATATATTTTTTTTAAGCTTTTCAACAAATTTCTTGCCAAAAGTGGTGGTTAGTCTTTATGAGGATAACATTAAGAGTTGGAAGTTTGTATGAGTTACTAGAGTCAATCAACTATCTTTGCTTGTGTTTTGATTACTTTTTTCAGATCATCCATTCTATAAGCTAGCTATGCTGTGTTTAGTGGACTACTTGAATCATTACATTGCTCCAGATCTATCTTCATGAACTTGTGACGGTTTCTTAACTTTCTGTAAAGTAGCTTGTGAAGAGTTCTGTTGTTTCTTATTTGGGAAAAGAAAGATGCATATAATGATATATTCATTTGCTTGGAATTGAAAAGTCACCTTTTTCCTTCTGTCAAGAACTTCTTGTAAGTTATGTCAGTTGGTTGAGCCAATTCTAAGAATCATGTATAGTTGGTCCCTTCCAGGAATATCTTGTCTATTGCTTCCAGCAGCAACTGTATTATATGTTTGATTGTGAAGCCCAGTGATCACTTCAATAATTTGTTTGTAATCCATGTTTATCCTTCAGTGCTCTTTGTGGCTTGTGTTGGATGGTGTAGGCTTTAGATTATGTGAATCTTAGCTATTGTTAAGAAAGTATTTAAGAATACACTTCTACATTCTTTAAGTTCATCTTCCAGGATGATCCAGCTTTGTAGTTCAATCTCTTGCTCTATCATATGGGAAGGCTAACTATTGGATACCATAATCACAAACTCATAATTTTAGTTTCCATTTATTTGGGTAGAACTAATTTATGTCTTCTGTTTAGCTTTCTCCTTTTATTTAGTAGGGGAGGGTGTTGTGTTTGAGTTCCAGAGCCCTATCTTGTTGGTTCTAATTCTTTGTGTTGCAAGAAGATTCAGATTAAGCATGTTATTTACAGCAGGGAAGGAAGAAGAAGGGGAGTGGGTGGCAAGTAGAATGTGATATGCCTTTTGCTCTACGAATCAGGATATGTTTTTATGTATTGCTTGTCACTTGAGCCTCTTGAAACCTCTTTTTTTGGCAGAATAAGAGACATTGTGTCATAAAAAAGTATTTCATATCTGAAAATGATTTGCGTGACGATGTTTACTTGCACTTTACTGGTATGAATACTGTTAGCTTCCACGTAGTTATGGAGTCCGGTGAGGTTAGCACTCTGTATTGTCTGGTTGTTTATATTTTGAAACAATTTCATAGAAGAATTGCATCTCTGGCACCTAGATTGTTTTTAATACATGTCATTTATCAAGCAAGGCGGTTCTTGGCATATTGGTTGATTGTTAATAGTTAATTGCTTTTAACACGTGCTTTTGATTGAACAAGTAATGGAAATTTCAAGCTGGAAGATCTGTTGTGCTGTAAATTTTTTCCTTGGGGAAGGATATACTAGCATTACAACTTACTTTCAGACTTCATAATTTCCATTTGTCTTACAAAAATTTCTGCAGGCTATTACCTTACCATGTAGTTGCTGACTATGAGGCCGAGGAGGATGATAAAATCCTGGATTCTGACACGACAGGCCAGATGCTCTCCCGCTCCCAGCAGTGGGATCACAACATTGCTGCCAAAGTTGCAGAATTTACAGCCACATTTGAGAAGCAGGTCCTTGCCTTCAACATAATCTCCCGCAAGCGAGGTCTTGGGGAGTTCCGATCAGAGGAGAGGTTAATGATTGAGCAGGCTCTTCTACAGGAAGAGAGACGAGCCCTAATTGAAGTGCGGGCAGAAATAGGCTCAAGGCAGAAAGCAGGTCGGGAGGCTCATGAGGCTAATTTGCGTAATGCAGCCATGGTTCACCCTGGGCAGGCTCATGGTGAGATGATGTCTGGAGCCTCAAAATGTGGGAGTGGCCTTGGGTCTCGAGGAAGTAATATTGCAATTGGTCGAGCCATGGAAGAACAGGAGCAAGAAGTTAACCCAGACGACATCATTAATGGATGGGGAAACAATGCACAGAGAGATGAGGAGCCATCTGAGGATTTTCTGAATGACGAAGAGACAGAAAATGGAGATGCGGGCCTGCAGACCGAGTGGCGTGGGGGAGGAGAATTGGATTTGAACACAAGATAAACCTTGAAGTGATGATTAGCCACTACTAGGGCTGTGCACACGAATAGGTAGAAGATTTGCGCGGGCAAGATAGTTTAGAAACCGTGACTTGATGCAGGACTTTGTTTTCGTTAAAATGGTTTCCAATACATTTTACACATTTGAACGGTTGGTTAATTGGGATTTGGATGAATTCATATTCATGATAGTTTGTGGGGGCAAGTTGTTTGTCATTTATCTAAAATGTAAGAGCGTGGGATGGGGTATGTATGGCCAAGTAATACGCAATGCATGCCTACGCTGAGTGACGGATGGGGTGTGTGGGGTTTGAGTCTCATCCGTTCAACCAAAAGCACAAGCTAATGTCTCTCTTTCACTGAGTTGATAACACCACACCCATAATGGTGAGTCAATATCTAGTGTGTGAAGGCAGGTTTTGCTCTGCCTCCACAAACAAACTGCTTTGCTCTGCCTCCACAAGTTTTGTTGATTCCAAGAGGTCATTTGTGTATAGTTGCTAACATTATAAATGAGAGACAAGTTGAAAGACGAATAGAATGTATGGTGCTCTATCACAATTAGTTCGTGTGAAAGTGAAATATCAATAATTAAAGAGTAGGCTCAGCCTGTACATAATTAAACTAAAAAAAATATTAAATTAAAAATGAGTGTCGTCCCCAACACAGCACAAACACCTGAATGGGGATTCAAGATGCTGGCAGGCTGACAATTCCATTTTTGTCATGCTTAATCAAAGTCCACCAGGCACCAACTCTGTGGGGGCAGGCGGCCACGATTTCCGAAGTGATATAGCATACACTTTTATGTTCAGAGCGGCAAGAGAGAGAGAGAGAGAGAGAGAGACTACGATATAACAACTTTTATAGCTTTTGCCGGGTCACACCAGGGTCCTCTTTGTCACCTCAATTTCATTGCATTGCTGCAAATAATGTTGCCACGTCCATCGCCTCCTCCACATGTGATATATCAGTTCCCTGAAAAGGAATAAATGGGAATAAACCACCTCAATGACTGAATGATAAGGTCTCAAATATATCAAACAAAGCAACTGCCATCTGACGCAACACTAATCAAATGGGATCACCAAATATCGGCTAGGCTTCCATGTCTGCATGCATGCCAGATTACTTGTAACAACCACCCGACACATTTAAAAAACTTTGCTCAACAATTTTGGAAGAATTTGAAGAAAATAAGCAACAAATGTGCATCTAATTTTTTTTCACTTCTGAATCCCAGTAATACCACTTGCTAAAACATTATTTTAGCATGAAGATAATAAATGGATCCTCGATCTCCAAACAATTAAAAGCGAGCCAACTTCTCTATAAATGAAATGCATAGAGGTAATAATGCTCATTTCCAAATTTTTTATGCACGTGTAGTCATGCAGGATAAAAAGTGGATGACCATGAGGAACTGCTAACCTGGCCCTGAGCAAGACCGCCTTTTCCTCCTCCACCCTTCCCTTTCACAGGTTTCAAAGCTTCCCTTATCACCTTTCTCTGGTACCCCAGCACAGACCAATGCCTTGTTTGCAGTTTCATCCGTGCTGAAAACCATAATTGCCATCCCCTGTTCATCCAGAGAAAATTCACTGTGTAAAAGGCGGGTGATGCTTAAAAAACCGTATAACCACAAGTTAGGTCAGCTAGATTTTATAAAAAACCGTAAGAAGCTGCTAATTACCTTCTGCTCCATAATTTTAACTACTGCTTCGCGGATTGCAGCAGTATCTGAACCAACATGGACATGCGAGATGCAAAAGGCCTTTCCATCAGAAGCAGCAATTTCTGCCATCTCACCAACAACTTTTATAGCTCTGTATATTCTCTTCGGCAATCTTTTTTTTCGATTTCATCACTTGATTCTAAGGAAATGCAGCGGTTTAGTATCACCTTGTATTCATAGACATAGGCGTATTGGTGGTGACAAAAAGGAAATGAGAAATTTCAAGGTTCAGGATAGATGAAATGCCTGAAGTACAGAAAGTTTGACCTTAAGTTCAGCCTTTTTGGCTGTTGGAATAGGCAGCGATTCCACACGACCATTTAAAGACCTTACTTTCTAGAAATTAAAAAGCGAAACTAAAAAGTCAGTTACATGAATGAATCACAATTCAAATTATAGAAGATTAACAAGAAAAACTAGGTGATCCCTGTATTCAGGTATGTTAAATGGAGCAAAGGTTGAAGCCTTGTGCAACCAACATTCCAGACATAAGACCAGCTTTCAAAGCCTCATTCTACTACAGTAAGTATCAAAACGGGAATAATAATGTTATAATTGCTCATGCTGCATACAGAAAGACAACAATTAAGTTCAAAAAGCCCATGAGCAGGATATGCCATGAGTTAATAGCCAAAACAGCTACTGACTAACAGATGGCTGCTGGTTTGGAACCTTTAGTTCAAAACTGGCACACAGTACCATAAATGCAGGTACTATCAGACCTTTTTTTTTTCAGACAAGTACAATTTCAACAGAGTATCTTTCTTACTGCTCTCTTTCTTGGTTGAATATACAACAAATCCAATTACAAAATCTGTAAATGAATCCAACCCCCTGGCCCTGCCCTTTTTCTCTTCATTTGCTTTCCACACTGCTGCTCACAAATCAATAGATAGTCATACAGATGCTCTTCCGTACTCCATAAGAGGAAATAACAATATCACTAAATGATGTGATCGACATGTTGAGGTAAAGGCAAATTTATACAGTTCCCCACCGAAGAAAGTGTAAAGTCTCACTTTGAGAAAAAAGATAGTAAAAGACCAACGATATAGAGCAGAAATTACACTGGTTAAAGAAATAAATGCAATTTGCAAACAGTGACAAAAGAAGGAGTGGGAGGCTTTTTGAGTTTTTAAATGTGCGTGTGTTTTGTGAGTTTTGGTTTTTTTTTTTTTTTTTTTTTTTGGGGGGGGGTGGGGCGGGCATATTGTTAGACTGGCCCAGATAAGAAGAAAAAAGAAAAATATCAGCAGGACAAACACTATTCAGAAATACGTCAGTGCAAAATGAAAGGTGGTAAAGGTCAGGAAAGTAGGCCACCTCGTTTTTTAAAACAAAATACAAAAATAAATGGTATACCACACATTATCGCAACCAGTATGCCACATACTCTAAAAAAACAGAAAAACAAACTGATACTTAGGAGTTAAAGTGTTGTCGTTTTTTTAACTGAATAAACAAATATTTATTCACTTAGAATAATATAGCATAACAAGAAGGTGTAACTAAGTAAATACCTGTTCCAACAAGCTTCCTTCTGTTTTGGATGCTTCATTTGCTTCCTGCCCAAGTGATGATGCCAATTCCGCGGCCTTTAAAGCATAATCCAATGTAACAGTGGTAACTCTACGGATTCCCTTGGCAATTCCCTCCTCAGATAAAAGAGCGAATCCCTTTGCCTCTCGTGTATTTGATATATGAGTGCCTATAAAGATTTTAGCAAATCAACCTTAATATAAATAATATACATTGATTGAATCAACATTATTATGATTTTGAAGAAAAAGATCCAATAAGTACTGAGCTAAAAGAAAGACGTACCTCCACAGAGCTCTGCAGAAATGGATAACCACTCTTCACTTTGTGGATCAGAAAGGAGATCCTCCACTTTCCGACCAATTGCAACGACCCTAACTGGGTCTGGATAGACCTATATCAAAATAGAAAAGCAACATTTAAGGAGGCCTGTAAACCAAGTTAGGGTCGTTGCATCGGTCAGGGTTACTTCCTTCGCAAATACATCCATTTCATCTTTAATTTGCTCGTTCACAATGGATTCAATTTTTTTCAGCTCTTCGGGCTTTACAGGTTTCCCTGTTCATGTGTTAGTGGAATTTAGAAATGCTTTTGTACACACAACGAAACAGCAGACAAACTTACCATGAGAAAAATCAAATCTCAAATTTTCAGGAAGGACAATGGATCCCTTCTGGTCAACATGATCACCAAGCACTTCCTGCATCCATGTTACTAAGTATTCAGGAGTTTAACTGCAAAAATTGATCAAAACAAAAAAAAGAAGATTGGAAGCTCATAACACTTGACAATTTCATCAATTACCCTTAGAGCAAAATTTAAAATGTGTGTAAATGTATGGTTGGAAGCAATCAGCTTACGCCTATCATAGTCAACCTGCTCAAGTTATTAGAGAACTGGTTGTAGTCATAAAAGAACAGAAGAAATATGTAGATGAACAAACATATTCATGTTTGCAAACACTATGATCAAGTATAAAAGCATGCTACGTTGCAAATTATTTTATCGGCCACGGAGAGTTTGCCACCATTTCCACTAAAAGAACCAAGATGAAGAATGAACCCTCCATAAATTTGGATATTTCAAACTTGAAATGATCCATATAAGCCTTCAAGTGATCCAGTATCATATATCTGTAAAACCCCGATGACTGTATCAGACCTAGAAACATCTTGATTTCAATAAGCAAAAATATCCACAACATTAAATAAATAAAACATTTTGTACAGGCTAAACGTAAAAAAGGAAGTTGCATGTCAGATCTTAGAACATGTTGACATTACATACATTACATATCATATGAACAAATGCATCATGTGATTTAAAGTGACTTCACTTCATGATATGACAACATTTATGAAATTGGCATGTCCCAATCAAGGGGAAATAAGATATGAGTTGTGGGGTTGCACAGCCATGAAAGAAAATTCAATGATTGAACACCACCCCAGACCTGATGTATGCAAAGATTTCAGGTTCCCAGATTCCAAGCCAAACCACATCCCAAAAAATATGAGCGTTTGTCATCATCATTAATTCCAGATTTCCTAACGCTCAAGGTTTAGAAAATAGGTTCCGATGGACGTATATTGCATCCATTCTGGCTTCGGTAGAGATTGCAAATTGCAAAACAAAGCACGTCCAAAGTCTCTACTTTCATTTTCAACATTACAGTACTGTCCAAGCAGAAGTACCTATGTATTTTATAAAATTATAGTACTCCCAAATTGCAGCTTCAGGTTTTCTAGAAAAATAATAGAAACATGTTCGATAAACCATCAAAATACTAACAGGAGCATATATCATATGCATCAGAGAGAACCTACATCGGTCCAACTCTCAGAACTTAAATATTCCGAATACCATAAGCAGCAATCAAGACACAAAGCATGGCAATGACAATTGCCATTTCATCATCCTTAAAAAATGGCAAAGCATTTCATGTATAAACTTTAAGATGTAGCGAGGGCTTGCAATGGGAATGAAGCAGGTCCATTTCTTTCAACCATAAGGAAAAAAGAAAATGAACATGGGCATATCAACTAAAAACTTATAAAAATCATACCAAAAAATTACTGCTCAAGATGTGTTAAGTGTTATCTTCTATCTGGCACAACTAGAGTGATCAACTAAAAAACGATGAAGGTACAGTTCCTGATCTCTCCTCCTCTCTATAAATGAAAATAAATAGATCCAATTTTTCCAATAAGAAGAACAAAAAATAAACTAGAACCAGAAACCACTTGCCTGAGAACCTCTGAAGCAACTCTAGGACAGGGCCATTGTAAAACATAAAGATAAAAAAAAAACGGGGGCATTTATTGAAAAGTTTTGTTACACTAATGCCGAGAAAGGAGGGCAAAGGTTACAGCTCTCTTATTCTCCTTTTCTCCTCCACTTTTATGCTTATTTTGATTCCTGTATTCTAAGTTCTAACTAATCAAAGACAAAGAAGGAGACAGCATACATATGAAATTCAGTTACTTAGAGAAGTTTACATATGAAATTCATAGTTACTGGACGCCTTCGGAATCATTTATCAATGTTGAATTCATAGATTAATTTTATGTTGTAAATAACTGGGAGCCGGGAGGAGACATCTACAAAATAAGAACAGAGAGGCAACATGAAAAGCAAAGTTTGTTCTCATCCACAAAATATTTATGATGTAAACTGTCACGCGTAACACCCTATTTGCTCTTTTTTCACAAAGGAGACTACTCATGAAGATGTTGCCTCATCAACCAGCCACTCAAAAACTCGTAAAGGAGCACGCGCGCACGCGCACACGCACAAGCAACACACGATGTACAAAGAAAACACTCCCCAATTTATATTATTGCTCAACCAATACAAGGAACATACAAATTCAACCAAAGACTCTCAGCCTACAGATTGCCCCAACATTCCTTATTTATACAAGGAATATGGCAACGGTTCCTCCAATTCAACACCTGACTTGGAAACCGCCCACAACTGCTCGCCCATGATCATGTTATGCCCAGTAACCACCCACAACTGCTTCCCTGATCAAGCTATGAACAATAGCCACCCTTAACCATCTAGTTCCATGCATTGAGCATACTTGTCCCAGCCATGCGCCTACAAATTCGCAGCCAAGCCTTGCTCACGAATCGATCAAGCATGTTGAGTCAAGCCCAATCCATGCCTTGTGAAGCCATACACCAACATTGCCTCATTTGTGCCCACTACGTGCTGCCATCCTCAGTCGCGTGGCCTTTCGTATTTACTGGTCTCCACAATTTTTCTGGTCCCACCATTATCTTGTGTTCCCTTGTCCACCTTGCCAGCAATGCCAAGGCTTGGGGGCACAAGCCTTGCCAGGCCCTTGGTGCCCCTCAACTATAACCACTTCCTATATATACTCTTGGAAGATTTTTCAAAGTGGCATGAGCTGACATCAGCTGAACCAAGGAAGCATAAAAACGAGGTTCTGGGGCAGGGCAGAGTGCCTGAAACTTTTGTCGAACAAATTAGCTACTTCACCTTACTTCAAAATCATGAAGCATCTTGGTGCAAGGTGCCACCAAGACGCATCCATTTTCACCTAAGTCAATTAAGGATTAACAAGCCACCCCCACCTAAAGTTTCCAACGAAGCATATTGACGAGGGTTTGGAGCATAGTGCCCAACACTTTTTTTGAACACATTAGCTACTTCACCTTACTTCAAAGTCACGAAACATCTTGGTGCAAGGTGCCACCAATACACGTCCATTTTTGCCTAAGGCAATTAGGATTTGACAAGCCACCCCAACCTGAAGTTTCCAACGAACTTATTGGAAGGGTAGCGTGATATTACTTGATCAAGTTGAACTGCCACAGTGTTGTCTACTTCTCCCAATGAGCTCACTCTGATACCTTCTCTTCCCACTTGCCTAAGTAATGAGTCCTTTTGTTTTTCTTTCTCATACCTTTTGGTCAAGAATAGCTACAGCCACGTCAATTTATTTCTTCCTGATTGTTGGAGGAGCTCAACGTCGAACATGTCTACTAGGTTTGTCTTATTCCTCAATGTACTGCTTCAGGAATGCAACATGAAAACCGAGTGCAACCTGAACCAACTGGGGAGGTCCAGCCTATAAGGCAACCTGCCAATCCTTGACAATAGGACTGTAATAGCGTTGTATCAATTCCTTATGTGCATTCTTGCGAGTAATCTATTTCCATATATGTGGGGTCAACTTCAACATCACTTTGTCACCAACACTGAACTCTAATGGCCTCTGTTTCTCATTTGCCCAATTCTTCATCCTCTCCATTGCCTTTGTTAAGCAGTCTTTTGCCTCTTCGGTCCTATCCTGATGAGCCCAAATGAAGCTACATGCTGTCAGAGTGCAACTACTTCCCATGATCAGGCCATGCACTGCAACCGCTCCTCAACCCTCTGGTCGAGCAGACCTGTCCCAGTCGTGTGCCTGCAAATCAGCAACGAAGCCTCAAGAACAAATCAAGCATATTGAGCCAAGTCATGCCTTGCGAAGTCATGTAGCAACATTGCTTCAATTGTGCCATTACCTACTGCCATCCTAAGCCATGTCAATGTGGCCTTTTGTAGATACAGGGTCCCCACATTTTTTTGATCCCACCATTATTTTGCGTTCCCATGTCCGCCTTGTCTCACTTGTGACAAGGACCTTGCTACATGACTTGTCCAGCAGTGCCAAGGTTTCAGGGAACAAGGCTTGTCGGGCCCTTGGTGCCCCTCAACTATCACCAATGGTCATCCTTACTCCCTTTTAAATTTAGGTTTGCCCCTCAATTAAATTTGGATATCTCTTTTTTTAAATTTGAGTTTGTCAATTGAAGTTATTTATATCAAATCAAGTTTATTACTCAAATGTTAATTTAAATTTGAGTAAAAATTTGAGTCATGGTTGGAGATGTTCTAAAAAATTCCAATTGATAAACTCAAATTTAAAGAATGAGAGTCCCAAATTTAAAAGGGAATAAATATGATAATTGGATCTTTAAAATATTATGAAATCTCACCATTAAATATTTGAGTCTCCCCTAATTTGAGTAAAAAAAATAAATTTTCCTTAATTTGGTATAAGTTTGAGTTAAGGGTTGAAACAAGTTTTTTAGATTACTATTCTCACACCACAAATCTTCATTACCACCCCATTTAATTTCTCATTTTCAAACTACTAAGTTCACCCCTTCTATATCCACCATATTAGTAACTAAGCTCACTTTATGTTACATACATCCCATTAAAGTTCACATCATTCATTCTATGTACACTTTTTTAATAAAAGAAGTCATCGTAAAAAAAAAATAATGAAATAAGACAACTGATTTGAATGCATAAATATATTTACGAAACAAGGAAAAAAAATCAAAAATGAAACAAGTAAAAAAAATCAAGTATTCTGAAAAAATAAAAAAGAATAGAACGAAACAAGAAAAAAAAAAAGCAAACCGAAATAAGAAGGAAAAAAAATCAAGTAAAGATCAAGCAAAACTATAAGACACAAAATCGAATATAAAAAAAAAAGGCATCAAACACAGACACAAAATCGAACAAAAAATAATAATAAGCATAGATGCAAAATCTTAACTACATAAAAAGAAACAAATAATTTGAAAGTATAAATAAATATATATACACACATATAAATTTTAAATAAAAAATTATTAAACTTGACAAAGATATCGAAATATACTGAAAGTAATGAAAATTCATATAACAAGCATAAAATTAAATTGACAAATAATATTAACATGGATCTTACTGAAAAAATTTATATTGAAAAAGTATTTTTGTGAATGCATGAGAAGAGAGAAAGAGAATGAGACCCTAATTATGACAAAATATAAAGTGAATTTACTTATTAAAAGGGTAACATGGGGTAAGTTTAGTTACTAATAAGGTGGGTATAGAAGGGGTAGATTTAGTAGTTTAATAATGAGAAATTAAATGGAATGAGAATGGAGATTTGTGTGGATATGAATAGCCCCACCCATTCTATAGACCTTATGACACCTCTATACATAGAAGAAAAGATTATGAAAGAAATATGGGGGCTTAATTTGACATTAAAAGATGAGGAATCCCTTCATCGCCTTTGCTCCTTATCAACTTGACATTCAAAGAA